ATATTTAGATAAATAGCGAAACAAATTTTCGTCGACAGGTATAAACATTCCAAGTATATATGACATGCGAGAACAGAATGGAATATTTTTTTACTGTAATTTAAATATTTTTTTAATGGCAGATTACTATAAAAAAATAAAACTTTAAAAAGGTTGTAAAGAGAATGTTAAGTGTGTGTTTAATTAGTAGATCAGGGTTTCATGAATGTGAAGAGAGTGTTTCAAGAGTATTTTTACCTGAACATTGTGTGTTCTATAAACACACTTCTGACACACAATTCAGTGTTTTCCAAACACTCAAAGCGTTCCAAAATACACGGATTAGACACACTTTATTGTGTTCACAAACACATAATCGACACACAATAAACATTCTATAAAACACTATTTAAACACGCTTTGTCCAAGATATTTTCGACAGGGTATATGAAAAGATTAGATAAATTTCAACTTTATTACCTATTTTAAAAAAAGTTTTAGGCACGGGCACACTTTTTACTTGTTTCGCACCTACCACGTGCAAATGTTTTGACACGACAAAGGACTCAACGACAATGGAAATTTGTACGAAATCCATTAATACATATTTTAAACAAAAGTAAATAAAAAAATGGCTAGGTATACACTTTTGTCCTACCAAACTGTAAGTTTTCATCCGTTTTTTATTGATATTTATATTGAAATATTAAAGTTATGACAGCGCACGACAAAGGAATGAATAAAAATACGCAGTGTTTTTCTAGTGTTTTTTCTTAAAAATATGAAAAATATAATTTATTTTCCAATTTCTCTTGGAGATTTGAAAAGTGACATGTTTTTTCTTTAATTTCCAATTGATTTTTATATAAAAAGTGCACGTCTTATAGTTTATTTATACACGTTTATCCTTTGTCGTGCCAGCATGGAGATTTTTAAAGACACTTATATTTTAATAATTATCAATAACTATATTGATGTATTAAAAAATTTCATCGATAAAAATTGAAGCTTTTGAGTTAATCTTTCATAATATTTATTGAATAATTAAAGATAGTTCTTTTTTTATAAGTAATAGTACTTTAAAGTTTGGTACTCAGAGGTAAAGACTTATTGAATTGCTGTTTTCCAGCTGTTAAATGTTGTTTTCCACTAAATTTGTGTTAAAAAATTATCGTTTTTTATAAAGGGTATAATAAGTGATGTTTAAATAATATGTTTGTCCAATGTTAATATTTAAATGTTAAGTTGTTTAGAAGATATAATTCAAAGACATGAAATTGCCCACTTTCAGGAGAATCACCCATATACTAACCTAATTTGCGTCTACAGCCGACTTTTATTAGGAGTACTCGCATTCCGCCTGGACCACCCGTCAATGGGTTTTCTCGCCAGAGATAGATGCCTCGCTTGGCGGTCGTTTAAGGACCAAGGGTAAAGTACCCTTGGTTCGCGCCCATTTGGCTTGGTATTTTTCCGGCACGTGAGAAAATCTGAGCAGGAGGTTTGACGTCGAGGTATAATGATGTGCACCGTCGATTATTGTCCGGTACACACCATTAGAACTCGACTGTCGGTAAACCGGTTGTACTCAGGAGAGGTTTTCTACAGTTTCCCTCTTCTCTTGTATAGCCAAGTATGTAAGGCTGAAGACAGGTGTATAAACCAATAAATATGTCTTCTTTATTTTGTTAAACTTTGTTTTGTTCTTTTTAATATTTAAACTGTAATATGAAAAATGAAAATTCATATTTTAGTCTTCTTTGATAATATAGTATATTCATTTATGCAGTTAATTGTGGTTTCATTAAATTTGAACTCTTGAAATATTCTCAACTAAAACCAACTTCTCTCTGTTTTAACTACGTAACCACTGGCTGGCAAAATTAAATTTGGGTCCCGGTATATCAGGACCAAATTTGAAAATAATTAATTTTTTGTTAAATAACTATTGATAATAATTCCCTGTTGTTGCTTTTAAGTTTTATTTTTGATATATAATTATGTTGACAATGTTACAGATTTCAAAGTTTTTATAATATTATTTGTAAATATTTTAAGCAAATATAGATTGTTTCCAAGTATGGACTCGTAGGTTTAAGAATCTAAAGTTTTGTATAATATTTTCCATAAATATTATTCTATATTATTAACAAACTTTTCGGAAAGTAAAAATGTTCAAATTTAATTTCTATTTTGAATATAATAGCGGTGAGTTGAATGCAAGATTAATATAAATGTTGTGGTCAGGTTTCTGGTCCCGAGCTTCTGATACTAATCGCCACAAATAGCATGTCGCAGTTTTTGTGAAGTACTCTAATCTATGTAAATGTCCAATACCAGGTACATTGCGTGTTTTCATTCGCAAAACCGATTATTCTGTTTCTAGGTTATTCGCAATGTTTGTCGACACTTCTTGTCCCACTATGTCTTGCGTATAAAGCAATGTTAACACTGATATTATTTGAACTATAACAGATATTATACAAAAAAGGCTCTAGACATATTCATTAAAATAATTGCAAAAAAGTGTTGAAAAAAAGGTCATTCTCTTTTAATATTTATTTTTATCCAAACAGTTAAAAAGCAATTGTTTAAAAAAGTTGAATAGAAAATTATTCAGTTATTATCGTAAGGTTTATTAAATGCATTAAATAGAAACGATTAGAAATTTCGATCATGGGGAAAATTATTCATACAGGGATCGTTAGAACCATCGACTATTTCATCCACTGTGTTTGGTACGTAATTACGACAGTTAATCATACAACGTTTAATTTAACCACATGCAATGCTATCCTCATCTGTGATAATAGAGTTATGCGAATCATGATGGAGCTTAACAGGTAAGATAATCTGTAATGACATCGTTCTTGACATTTATTGGTAGTATAAATTATTACCTATTATCTATTGCACTTAATAACTTTTAGAAAATTAAAAGAATTGATTATCATTGACACTTTGATCGTGAAATAAAGGATCGAAAAAAATTGTCATCGCCAGATGCGGATGACAGTAACGTAATGAAAATTATAACTGATTCTGATTGTCGCTGAGAGCCTCTGGGGTCTTGTATCTAATTTCCATAAAACCCACAGCAAAATTGATTTTTTTACAATTAATTAAAACTAATGCAGGTAAAAATCGAAATTGCAAATTTCAATTTCAAAATTAACTATGTAATGATGAGAATTATATTTGTATGAATTTCCTTTGAATTAGACAAAATAAATGCATTTGCAAGCAATTGTAAAAATATTTAGGGTTGTTTTTACGATCATATTTACGGTCGTTTTTTCAGTAGGCAAAGAGTCAATGTTTGGGGTACTATATTCATAAGTGTAAAATCTATTAAATTCTATCAAAAATAATATAAAAGAATTATTTTCTCATACAATTTTCAAAAATAGTTTTAATTAAATAAAAAATTAGCGGAAACCTGTCTGTAATCCTATTTGAAAAATAATTTAAATGCTTTACAGGAATTTATTTATTAATAAACAAGAAAGTTTGCTAAAAGCAGATATTCCGAGAATGTATTTTCATTTCACTAACTCAACAGCTCTTTGGTGAGATAGGTTGCAGCTTAATTTGCACCCTACCATTTATGTTATAGAAAATACGACTCCCATGTTTTAATACATGCATTAAATTTGACAACTAAACCTTGAAATTCAAGAGGATAAGTGGCGTGTGTGCTTTTAACTAATTAAATACAAATAAATTAATATACATTCTTAAACTTTTCTCAAAGAAAAAGAAAAAATGCTAATAAAATTTTTAATTTTTGTTCTCTAAAATAACAGATTTAATTGAATATACTACAAGTGTAAATTAATTTACACTTGTAGTATATTCAATTAAATCTGTTATTTTAGAGAACAGATTTTTGCTTTTTCTTTTAGAAAAGTTTAATACATAGACTAAAATATGTTGAAAGTTATTAAACAATGTGCAATTGTATGATAAATTTTACTCAATTATATAATCACATCAAATTAATAGTAAATGATTGGTTTATTTTGGAGAGAAATGAAAATTGTTCGTAATACGTAAAGAAGTTTGAATTGTTTGTAAATTTTTGTGGAATTTATAGCATATTCCATTAAAGTGGAAATTTTGGCACCACGAAACAAAGGGAACTTTTATTTTAAATTTGAGATATTTCATGTATTTAAATTGAAACTTTTTAACTTTAAAGATTAAGTAGGTGTTGTATTGTCGAGTACATTAATCAACAACGAAATAATGGATGATGAGATAGTAGTAAGGATGCGGTTAAGTTTTAGATTGAAAAAGTCTTGGATGCGTTCAAGCACACAAAACAAATCGATTTACCGCGATTCGATACAATACTAGTGAAACTTGTTAAAAGTTTTATTTATAGTATATTCAACTTTTAGTATTTTGAATTAGATAAAAGGAAAAGATATATCCAACTTAGTTTAAATTCATATAAGTAATTGATTAATGATTTAATGTCGGTATTTATATCTGTTGTTGTCGACAGCATGTGACTCGTATGCTAGCTCGTATGCTTCACGAGGCAAAAGCATGTGCATATCCAGTTACGTGAGAGTGGAATTGTTTTCATTTCAATGTTCTTAAAGGCATAAAAAGAAATTTTCCTATTATATAAACAACACATTTCTCCAGGGGGTCTTTCAATTGTTCTCTACAGAGAGTACTGTTCACTTCAAGTGATCCTTGGGTATTTGCACTTTTTAAACTGTAATTCTTGCAATTACAGTACAAGTAGTCTAGAACAATGGACTTCTGTTCACTTGAATTGTGAGCCGGTTTTTTTAAAAATTTATCTTCTCACCCTCTAATCCCTGTAGTTATAATTATCCTCCAATTTAGTGGTTTCATAAACTGAATTCTTTAATGTAATTATAAATAATAAGAACAGGATTTTATGTAAGAAATTTATGACGCACCACTTTTAGAGTTGTCTGTAGTAGTTAATAATTTAATAATTATCAAGAGAGTTTCCATGCACATAATTCCCATTATCTCACCTTCGTTGCTTCCGACTGGTATCCGGTCACCAGACTCACGTCTCCAAATGATATTAGGAGCGGGAGAACCAGAAGCAGCACATCTCAAAGTTACATTGCTACCTTCCTTTACCACCATATCTGTACTTGTCGGATAATCCAGGATGTCTGGCGGAACTGCAACAATATAATAAATAGATATAGTTGTTGAATAAATGATCATGGGAAGGTGGAAATTGAATAAAATCCAATGTGTATTGTCAGTATAGCGACGTTTCGTTGGCTAAGGTTTGCCAACCTCATCAGGCTGAATTTATTAAAAGAATAAACACTTCAATATTTATAAAGACTTAAAGCACTATTTTTATAAAAGTAATGACAATAATATTATCATACCTAATTCATTAAAACATAGAGACACGTTTTAACTTGTCAAGAAATAAAAAACAATAAATAAATAAAATACAACACATGTTCCACATTAAATAGTTAAAAATAGAGTTAAAATTTAGAAAGGAAGACATTTCATTACACTGTCTCAGTGTCAACTGAAATAAAATTAGAATTTAACGATATAAGAAAGTCAAATTGATACGAGAAGGGGCAATGAACTTATATATAAACACAGGTTGTCAGAAAGTTATGTTATTGTTGTGTATCGTTAAAGGCAAGAGTCTATACGTCTGAGAAGAGGAAAGAAGGTTTTGTTTAGAGTGAAAATGTCTTCCTTTCTGTTGATAGTGGAACGATTAGTTTTAATATGGATCATTTCAGATATTCGTCGTTTTGTAAAATTTTTTTCATTGTCCAAGATTTTTGTGTTTTCCCAGTCAAAATCGTGATTAAAATTGGTTCGGTGTCGATAAACTACAGAGTTGTCATTCACTTTTTTGTGTTCATTTATGCGAGTAAATAATGATCGTTTCGTCTCGCCAATATATGTTGCAGGGCAGTTTTTACAATTAAACTTGTATACAACATTAGTTCTATCCCATTTTTTCGTCGAATCTTTACCTAATCTAACGATGGAGTTAGAGTTTTTATTTATAAGGGGGATAGAAGTGCAATGAAACTCTTTGAAAATATTTGACAACTTGAAAAAACATTTTTCATTGAAAGGTAGACAACTTTAGGAGTTTGGCTATAAATATTATTTTTATTATTATTATTTACATCAGAAAATTTTATTTTGTTCATACGAATTTTTATTTGATTTTCAATGAAATCGATAGGATAGTTATTATTTTTCAAAATAGTTTTAATTTTTTTCAAGTTATCAAAATGGAATTTTTTGTTGGACAATGAAATCGCTCTGTCGACGAGATTGTATACAATATTCTTTTTTTGTTGAATTGGATGATCTGAAAAATAATTGATAAGTCTATCCGATGAAGTCGGTTTTTGATACCAATTTGTAATAATTTTATTATTATCTCTAACAAGATTTAAATCGAGAAATTTAATAGAATATTCTTTTTCTTTTTCTACGGTGAATTGTAGTTTTTGATTATAAGAATTAAAAGTATCAACGACCAAATTAACATGTTCTTTTTTAACTGCTAAGATTGTGTCATCCACATATCTAAAATAGAACAGAGGGACACAATCATGTTTTTCTTTTAACTCTTTTAAACATTCAGTTTCCAGATCATCCATAACAATATCAGAGACAAAAGCTGAGATTGGAGAACCCATCGGTGTACCGTAAACTTGTCTATAGAATTTTCCATCGAACGAAAAATACGTGTTGTTAAATACGAATTTTGTAAAATCAATAATATCAGAAAAAGGGATCTTACATTTCTGATTTATAAAGTTAATTCGTCTATCCAAACTCTGAGTGGCAAGTTCACAAGACACATTAGTGAACATGGAACTTACGTCAAGTGAGATAAAAGTATAAGTATCGTCCATAGTAATATCATTCAATTTATTTTTGAGTTCTAAACTGTTATTAATGTGTGACTGAGGTAAAGGTATGCAATTTTTTAAAGAATTATATAAAATTTTAGCAAGAAAATGAGTAGGACTGTTTATTAAAGAAATAATAGGGCGGAGTGGGACATTTTCTTTATGTATTTTTGGTAGTCCGTAAGCCTTAGCCAAAACAGTGTCGGTCAAGGTCAATTGATTCGGGTGATAGTTTTTATCTAAGAAATCGTTTTCATTCAAATATTTAAGAATTGCTGATGTTTCTTTAGTGAGTTTTTTTAAAGGATTCTTTTTTATAAGTTCATAGGTAGAAATGTCAGAAAACATATTTGTCATTTTTTGGTTATAGTCAGATTTTTTTAGAAGGACTGTCACATTACCTTTATCAGCAGGAGTGAAAAAAAGGTCAGAATTGTTTTTTAAGACTTGTTTCTCCAATCTCAGCTTTTGTCTCTGATATTGTTATGGATGATCTGGAAACTGAATGTTTAAAAGAGTTAAAAGAAAAACATGATTGTGTCCCTCTGTTCTATTTTAGATATGTGGATGACACAATCTTAGCAGTTAAAAAAGAACATGTTAATTTGGTCGTTGATACTTTTAATTCTTATAATCAAAAACTACAATTCACCGTAGAAAAAGAAAAAGAATATTCTATTAAATTTCTCGATTTAAATCTTGTTAGAGATAATAATAAAATTATTACAAATTGGTATCAAAAACCGACTTCATCGGATAGACTTATCAATTATTTTTCAGATCATCCAATTCAACAAAAAAAGAATATTGTATACAATCTCGTCGACAGAGCGATTTCATTGTCCAACAAAAAATTCCATTTTGATAACTTGAAAAAAATTAAAACTATTTTGAAAAATAATAACTATCCTATCGATTTCATTGAAAATCAAATAAAAATTCGTATGAACAAAATAAAATTTTCTGATGTAAATAATAATAATAAAATAATATTTATAGCCAAACTCCTAAAGTTTGTCTACCTTTCAATGAAAAATGTTTTTTCAAGTTGTCAAATATTTTCAAAGAGTTTCATTGCACTTCTATCCCCCTTATAAATAAAAACTCTAACTCCATCGTTAGATTAGGTAAAGATTCGACGAAAAAATGGGATAGAACTAATGTTGTATACAAGTTTAATTGTAAAAACTGCCCTGCAACATATATTGGCGAGACGAAACGATCATTATTTACTCGCATAAATGAACACAAAAAAGTGAATGACAACTCTGTAGTTTATCGACACCGAACCAATTTTAATCACGATTTTGACTGGGAAAACACAAAAATCTTGGACAATGAAAAAAATTTTACAAAACGACGAATATCTGAAATGATCCATATTAAAACTAATCGTTCCACTATCAACAGAAAGGAAGACATTTTCACTCTAAACAAAACCTTCTTTCCTCTTCTCAGACGTATAGACTCTTGCCTTTAACGATACACAACAATAACATAACTTTCTGACAACCTGTGTTTATATATAAGTTCATTGCCCCTTCTCGTATCAATTTGACTTTCTTATATCGTTAAATTCTAATTTTATTTCAGTTGACACTGAGACAGTGTAATGAAATGTCTTCCTTTCTAAATTTTAACTCTATTTTTAACTATTTAATGTGGAACATGTGTTGTATTTTATTTATTTATTGTTTTTTATTTCTTGACAAGTTAAAACGTGTCTCTATGTTTTAATGAATTAGGTATGATAATATTATTGTCATTACTTTTATAAAAATAGTGCTTTAAGTCTTTATAAATATTGAAGTGTTTATTCTTTTAATAAATTCAGCCTGATGAGGTTGGCAAACCTTAGCCAACGAAACGTCGCTATACTGACAATACACATTGGATTTTATTCAATTTCCACCTTCCCATGATCATTTATTCAACAACTATATCAACTAAATTATGGAAGGATTTAACTCTACTCAATTACTAATATAATAAATAATTTCAGTATTTTGATTTATAACATTAGGAAAATATCTTAATGTTGTAACGAAGAATTTCGTTACATGAACCATGTATCGTTATTTTTGAAAAAAGCATTTTATTAATATTGAGAGATTGACTCTTTTTAGAGATCTCTATGAAAATTAATTGCACATGCGAGGTTCAAAATAATCAAGATGTACATTCCAATATAAAAAACGTGAAATTAATTTTTAAAAAAGCATGTGACAGTTTTATGAATATAGACTTTGTTTACTCCATGAAATGAACTCAATTATTATTTTTTGAGGCAATATTTACTCTCAAATATTTTGATAACTTACCCACAACATCCAAATAGCCAATCTGACTTTTCATAGGATCTGTATTTATCTGGCACATGTAATCTCCCCGGTCCGCTGGACGAACATCGCGGATATGCAAATACCATGTTCTATGATCGGTCTGTGTTACTCCGATCCTATGGTTTTTGGTGATCACATGACTGGCTATCGTTAAAATCGTTTGCGTATTTACTCGCAGCCACGCAACCTGCAAAAAAATTCACTATTATTACTCTTATCTCTATATTGAAAAAATAGAATCTCCATACCACTAAAATTATACAGGAAATAAATCTAAAATAAACATATATTAGACATCTGTCTATATGCTGATGCGATTAGAATGATACATTAATGGAAATTTGATTTTTATTATTAAATATGATTTAGATAAAAAAAAATTGCCAAAATCAAGCGGTATATTTTTCATCAATTATTCTTTTCAATATACCCGCAAAAATCGTTTTAGGCAAAGTACATCTATGGGAATTTTTCAAGAAATAAATTTGTAGTAACCACACGTTTTCTGTAAAGGATGCCAAATACGTGGCGGATTTATCAATTGAGACTAGCCAGTAGTTTAATTTTTTTTTTTTTTTATATAGTTTGACATTTAAAAATTCTCTAGTGAATTCGATAATTATAATGTTCAAACATCCCCTGCGCAATCAGGAAATTATAATTAAATTCTACCTACTATCGAGCGTAGTCTATGCACAATTCAGTGTTCGGACAAATTACGAGCTTTGTCGCTTAAATGGCTGTCCACAACACGAGCTTCAAATCTGAATGTGCTGTCAGTTAGGTGAAGCAATTTTTCTAAATCTAACCATTATATACGCTAAAGTTTTCAATTAAAAAATTAAAATTGAATTTGTATGAAATATTCTGTGACAAGTATACATGAAAATTTAACCATAATTAAAGATAGTCAAATGGTATTTCAGTAGTCAGAAACCAGTTCTGATAATATGACTGTATAGTTAATAAATTTAAAAAAAATGTTTTAGCAACTCAGTCTTATTTCTACCTTGAAACTGTAATATTACTATTAATAATAAAATTCGTAAAAACTGTGCTATCTTTTTATTTTTAATTACATCAAGAAACATACACCTCTGTTACCAATGGGTACATATTACTCCTACTCCAACGAATAACTATTGACATTAATTGTGACGACGGACTTAAAACTATTACAATTCACCATGCTAGTTTAATACTAGGTTCAAGATGTAAAGTATTTCTGGAAAACACAGAACTGTATCTCCCAAGTACACAAACAAAATTGTAAACATTAATGTAAGCTACGTATTATACCATTTGACAAAAATGAAATAGAGAATCTTAGACCTGAATTAATTTCGTTACCTCAAAAATTAGATCAGCAAATCAATAATTGGAAAGAAAAAGCGTAGACTTGTTACACATGGCAGGTTCTAGTATTTTAACTATTATATGAGTTTTTGTAATGTATAAATGTGGATTATTTAAAATAATACGAAAATGTTTACCTAAAAATTTATGCTTATTATGTATTAAAAACCAAATCACTAATGAACCCGTTGTAAATCAACCCTATTGACTTCATTAGGTAAATTTGTCATTAATTCACAAGGGATTACCTTATTTAATTTTAAATGAACAAAATTAAAAAATGTATACCAAAATCTAATCAGTTAGGAAATCTAGATTCTTCTATTTAAAAAGGTTAAAGTATTTTTCACTTCTTTGAAATAGAAAGTTTTCCGTCTGAAGTTGAATGAGAAACTGCCGGGGAAGGTTGAGGATTTGGGAAAGCTTTAGTTAGTTTTGGATTATCTGAAGTTGTGTGTCCGAATAGACC